TATATATATATATATATTTGTTAAAATTGTGAATCATTCGTCTTTTGTAAATCATCTTGTTTGTCATAATCAAAAAGGGGGAAATTGTTGACATGGTTGACTTCCGTCTATGTTTTTATTATAACAAACAAAATTTAATTTTGGTTCTAACAAACCTACTTTTAAATCATGATAGTTGAAATCAAATCGACCATCGCATCAAAATAAAGATTCATGCATAGGACAAGATAAATGCACTTATGAAGAACGAAACGAATGTCAATGTCAAAAGGAATCAAGATCGAAGTCATAAACTTTGATGATCGAGCATATTGAAGAAAACTATATTAGAACTCTTGAATTTATATGTAAAGGTATAACATTTTAATATTTAGCAAAGAAGTCTCGGGAGCTCAAAATAAAATCATTCAAGGTAAAATCTATTTTTTTTGAGCTACCGGACGGTCCAATAGTGTACCGAACGATCCGATAAAGGTCTTTGCCCAACAGTCAAATTTGTTAATGTTCTGACACCTGACTCACAAACGGCTAGTAGCCTTGTCCAGTACGTACCGAACGATTTGGTACACTTATCCGGTGGGACAAACTCTTGACCAATAGGAAGATTTTTGAGAGCTATGAATACTATTTTCTCTTCACTATTTAAAATAACTGTTCATGAGCATTAAGTGAAGTAATTTATTGACTTTCTCAACCTTATTCTTCACTCTTTTAAAGATCAAATTATTCATTTATTGAAACTTTTTGAGTGATCAAAAGTTGAAAAATTGTTTATCTCAACTAAAGTTTTTCAATCAAAATACTTGAGCTACCTTCTTTGCTATCAATTAAAGTGTTTACCTACTTTTCTCTTAAATTCAAACTAAGTCTATATCATTTATTAAGAGAGAAGTTTTTCACTTGTAATTTCAGTTCTCTTATTTTTGGATTGTGGGTCGTGTTGAGGTTCCAAAAATTTCAACGGTGTAAAAGGATTGATACTCCATGATTGTAAGACACCGGAAGCTTTGTAAAGGTTGGATTGCACTATAAGTCAATCAAATATAGTGAAAAATACCTTGCTCGTGACGGAGAGCTTGGTAACGGGGAACGTAGATCGTTGATTGGATCGAACCTCCTTATTGCATTGTTTGCGCTCACTCTTCCCTTCCTCTTATTATTTTTTATGATATCTTGCTTACTTATTACTTTAATTGTTATTTGCTTAAATTTGAACTTATTTTCGAAAAAGTTTCAACTAACCAATTCACCCCCCCCCCCCCTCTTGGTTAGTTGTTCTTGGGCTTTCAATGCGGAGGTGGAGAAGTCGCTGTTGTTCTTCCTAAAAGAGAGTTGAAAATACTTTTTGCATCGAAGGCAATGGATCAAGGGCAAGGATTTGTGTATGTAATGAGGAGTAGGAGTCATTCAATCCAAGAAGGAATTAAAAAACTTGCTCATCTTCAGCCTTTTTTTTTTTCAGCAAGGTCCGTAACATTCTGTAAGTCACCCAACTCATCTCATATCTGCTTAATTTGGTTATAGTAATCATGGATGGGTTGGGTATTTTGTGTGAGGTTGTATAAATCATGTTTTAGGTGATAGAGCCGGATGTTGTTGTCGTGGCTGAAATGAGATTGAAGATCTGTCTATAGGTTCCGGGGATTTGTGTGATATTCAAGAGAATTTACAATAGAGGGGCTGATGGTATTGAGCAACCAAGTGAGGACCATGTCCTTGGTTTGGCCCCATTGAGAATAGGTGGGAGAATCGACTGTAGGGTTTTGGAGAGTGCCATTCACAGAACAAAGTTTGTTTTTGGCATTGAGGGCACGACTTATAGCTCGCTGCCATTTAGGATAATTGTCTCCGGTGAGTAGTCCAGAAACAAGAATGAGATTAGGAGAATCAAAGGGATGTAGGAGGTAAGGAGAGAAATTTGGGACTCGAGGAGGTGTGTTGGTTTCAACAACCATGAGGACACAGGAAGAAGAGGATCTGATACCATGTTAAAGAAGAAAATGGATAATTCTGCTGTATGTTTCATTCATTCTTGAAGTCAATAAATAGGTACAATGAGGTTGTTATACAAAGAAAATTGGCTAAGATTTATGCTAACATTGTGCAATTTTCTATAAAGGTTTACAAGGAAAATTGACAAACATCCATGCTGATTTTGTGCAAGAATATGATCCATGCTGATTTTGTGTAATATACTGATTTTGTGCACATTGCAATCCCTGTTGATTTGCAATTGGATGGAAATGTCAATAACAGTAACAATGCATGTTGTGAGTTAGAATGCGTCGGTGGTTTAAGGAATTATTTGCTCAAGATAGAGGTGGGAAAACACATGTACTTATTCCTGAATCCATTGCTAAACAGCTATACTGTCAGGTTTCATTTTAAAATGAGTCAATCTTTCAAGTGGTTTAGTAAATTCTCTTCTGCAATATGTGCCAGTATGTTCGAAGGATTCGTCAATTTCGTGGGCCACGATTTATTTGTCATGCTCTTTTTTTCATTAGCATATTTCATGGACTTTAAGGCCTACTGTTGTTAAATCAATTCAATCAATAAAGATTTCACAAGCATAAGCACACAGCAAGATCAAGAACCTGGCGATGTATGAACGACGAAAACAGAAAGACTAAGACAAGTAAGTTTTTATACTGGTCGGCGTATAAATGCCCTACATTCAATTCAGGGCCCTCGTTTGATGATAGAAAGCAATGGAGTAAATAAATGGATTACAAAATAATCTTGAAGTAAAAGACACCTCTGCCAGAATTTTGATTCGAATATTATGAATTTTCTCTTTCATTTCACTTCATAGTGTGCTTAAAGAGCAATTTTTTTCATTAATTTTCTAAGAAGAGGACGCTCTCCATAGTTTAGTCATGAATTCATTTCCGAACAGTAAAAACTTTCTCAGTGAGCTCTCCATAGTTTAAACTCATTACTCATCTCTAAATTCATTTATTCTGAAAATTGTACAAAGAACTGTATTAACCTTTTAAATTTGCAAATGCCAAACAGACCTAATAACGACCAAGAAATGAAAAATAAGAAAATATTTTACTATTTTATTTTTTTTCTAATCTTATAACTATAGCAAAAGTGTTCCTCACACTTGGTCAAGCTGATTAACCACGAAAGTCAAAGATCGAAAAATCAATGGAAACTCTTATTATCACGTGACGTAAAAATGTGAAAGAAGAGTAAAGCTTTCAGAGTGAGATCACGGAAAATAGATCACTGCTTAACCTTGTTCAAGAACACGTCAAACCTCATGTTAGATGTAAATATTCAAATGTTTAATTTCAGAGTGTTTTTAATTTCTAGTAAACGTTTGTCAATTGATATCAGAAATATCTTTTTTAAAAATGTGATGCACAAGCGAGGTGTAAAAACTAAAAGCAACGAAAGAGTGCTAAAAATCATTGTAGCCCGGGCTGTTTTCAGTATATTTCCGTCGACATTTCTATCTTTCTTTTAAACATAGCCCAGTTGGGTGTGAAGTTCAATAGTGCACACACGAAATATCTTCAGTATATGGCATGCTAGGAAGAATTACAAGGTAACAATAGTACTACTATATGCAACTCATTCACATGGTTATGTGTACATAAATATTTTATCTTGCTTCTGGCATAGTTACTGTCACCATATTATGGGTGAGATATCTTTCTTCATTTCTTGACATATCTGATCCTGTGCAACTTCTCTCCGTGAAAAACCCAGGCTCTTTAGGTTGTGGCAATGTCACACCCTCGATGCTTAACATGACAACAACTGATGCCATTGTTGGCCTGTCTTCCGGTAGTTTTTGGACGCACAATAGACCTACGTGAATACATTTAAGTACTTCAGATTCGACGAAAGATAGCTCATAAATATCGTCCATTAGTTCCTCTGCCCTGCCTTCATTCCACAATAACCATGCCTACAATATAATGAAAGAAAGTTAATTATTTTCACACAGATTTGATAAGGAGAGAAGGAAAGTTCAGTTTTACATTACTTACATGACCTGCTAGATTATGATGATGGCCAGGATGGTGAAATGTCCGATTCTTTTTGCCACTCACAATCTCTAATAACAATACTCCAAAACTAAAGACATCAGATTTCACTGAGAACTTACCATCTACAGCATATTCAGGTGACATATACCCACTGCATTAACATAACATAAAGTTCAACATATAATGAATGCACATTTTTCGGTTTTTAGTATGAGACTTACTATGTTCCAATAACTCGCTTTGTTTTGCTTTCAGTTTGATCTTCACAAAAAATTCTCGCGAGGCCAAAATCAGAAATTTTTGAGTTCAAGTTACTGTCTAGCAAAATGTTGCCTGTCTTGAGATCTCTGTGAATAATTCTCAATCTAGAGTCCATGTGAAGGTAAAGAAGTCCTCTTGAAATGCCCATAATAATATCAAAGCGCTTTTGCCATGTAAGCAATGCTTTTCTATGCTGATCTGCAATAAATAAATCTCTATTATTGATATAAAATTATATAATAATATGATCTTATTAGTCATTTGGATAGGAAAGCAAGGGAAGCAGATTTACCGAAAATGAAATAATCCAAGCTTTTGTTGGGCATATACTCATAAATTAGCATCCTTTCATCTCCTTCAAGGCAACAACCCAAAAGCCTTACAAGATTTCGATGTTGAAGTTTGGCAATCAGAACTGCTTCATTCTTAAACTCTTGAAGACCCTGTCCAGAATTCTTCGAAAGTCTCTTCACTGCAACTTCTTGCCCTGTTGATAATGTACCCTGTAGATATTTAAAGGATCTGTCATGAAGACATTCTCATATTCTTATGCAGAACAATAATTTATATATTGGCCTTTCTTACCTTGTACACGATTCCGAAACCACCTTCTCCTATTATATTTGTCAGAGAGAAGTTTTCAGTTGCAGTAGTAATTGTAATCAGATTAAACATGGGTATCTCTATATCTTCATCTTTGGTCTCAAATCCTGCATATTGAGAGATTTGTCGGATAATGATCAATGGCAAATTAGTTAATCGCTGCTGCAAGATGTTATAACTTTGTGCTGAAAATGGGATAAACTTGGCTCGGAAAGAACAAGCGTGGATTATACAAAATAAAAGGAAGTAATTCACCGAGATTGAACTTGTTTGCATACCTCTTTTCCTTTTGCAATATTGGGGAAGACACCAGATCAAGAAGCCAAGGATAAGCACTCCAGAAAGTAGTGATATGACCAAGATCAGCACAAGCCTTGTATTTTTACTATTTCCTGAATGTCAAAAGTTAATTAATCTTTATCGGCATTAGTCATTCACAACTACCTAGATAACTAGATGATTTTAATAATGTTGTTATTCACATTAGTACCAAACCGCAGTATGACTATGAAGGACAGTTATTTTGCTTGATAATCTCTCCAATGCGCACAAACGTTGATATTGGGTTTTAATTTACTATAATGATAATTTTGATTGGATCCCTAGAAGAAATTATCATTATAAGAAACCTGAAAATGGGTAACTAGGTAATATGATAACAGAATTTACCAAATTCCTGGAAGAAAGTGCAGTGGCTGAATCTGAGAAATCTAAAACAAGATTGAATTATATAATCCGATGTGCACTTACTAAGTTCTGACACCGGCATTCTTATATAGATCACATCTTGCCCATTTTTCTCAGAAGACTCTCGAATATCAATCAGATCCCCAAACCACATGAAACAGCCACTACCACCTTCACGAATATCTGATTTTGCATAAGCTATACAAGAGCAGTCTTTCAAGCATTCAGACTTACATTGGTTTAGACTCATGCTCTTGTTTAGCGAAAACTGCAAGAGATCTGGCAATTTCACATTGCTGAGCTTTACAAATCCTTCTTCTTGCTGGCAATTTAAGGGAATCCTTCTCACACATCCACTGGACCAATCAAGTATGTCCCATACATTCTGAGATTTAGGGACAAATCCATATAAGCATTCACAAAATTGCTTGTTGCTGATTTTGCAAATGCCATTTGGGCCACAACGTCCATAATCGTCGCATTGATCATTTTGCGAGGAACGCAGAATAGTCCATGAGGAATCCCCTTGGTTCAGTGCAAGACGTTGGAGCAAACCTGATGAAGTTACAGTGAACCTGCTGATAAATGAATTGTCGGTGAACTCGTACATATATTCTTCATCGTTATAAATGAAAACTGGTTTGAAAACTTTGTTCGACACAGCTCTGGAACCACTAAATCGAATTCCATTCCATGGCCCGGTGCGGAATAGCTTCTTTGATCCCTTTCGAAGAACAAATTGAGGCATCCCTAGATTGTCGATTCTGTAAGTGATGTCTCCAGGAGAGGGATCAGTGTCATATTTCCATGCTGTTAAATACCTATTTACGTTGGCGCTCAAGTTCCATCCTATCTTCATTCCTGGTAAAAGCGTATCAGATGGGAAATCAAAGCTTTGCCATAAATATGTTTCTGAATTATCATCCTTTCGTCTGAGAACAAGATTCCCAGATTCCAATAGCTGTGCAACTGACCCTTGGACTCTTCCCGAAGAGTTTGATGACCAGGAAACGCCTCTTATACCATTCAGGAGAATAAGATCCCCATCAGGGCTAATAGTTAGAACTCCAGATGAATTCCATAAAGGAGTTTCCCTGTTTGCAACCCACACGACAATTTCTGGGAATTTTTTGTACCATATTCCTATGTACCATTTGCTTGAATTACTGGGGGAAAAGAATCCTAATTCAAAGCTTTTGCCCGAGGATACCAAAGTCTCCCCATTTGTGATGGTAGCATTAGAGGTCAACGTATCAATAGCTGTGCAGAATTCCAAGAGTGAAGAAAAGAGAAGAATGAATAAGCAAATGGAAGGGAACATTTGGAGCTGTATGATTTAGTGTGTGCAATGCCTTTGAAGGCGTTCTATATAGCCCAGAAAATTTGGTAATAATATTACAGCAGCCATGATAGACTCAATATCTTAAACACTGTCAACGTGTTGCATAACGTAAAACCCATATAAATTTATTAGGAAATATTATTTTAGAAATATAATATTTGGATCGTCAAAATTTGAATTAAGTATTTGTAAATGTCTATTTAAATATTAAGTAAAAATTTATTTAACGACAGAGAATTCAAATGAAATTTGATTAAAAATTTAAAAGGTTGCTTTGAATTGGTTTGCTAAATAAAGACATTATCATAATGCCCTTTATAATTGTTGGGAAATTTTACGGCAATTCCCATTATTTCTTTTTACCCGCAAGATCTTTTGTTGTTCAAGACAATATTAGCAAACAAAGACAAATAAATAATATAACGCACAAATTAAACGGACCATCAAAAATTTTCACTATATGAAAAATTATTACAATTATATAGAATTCCACTCACCAACCAAATCCTTCAAGTATTACAAAGAAAAAAATAAACTCGAGTTTTATTACATCCACTTTTCTATCTAATGAACGAAAAGTCTCAAAATGCTAGACTCACAATATTTTTCTCTCAAATCAACTCTCAAGCCACACATGAAATAATGAAATGCATCCATTATTTATAGAATCAATAACAGAGTAGAAGAGTTTAATTTAAACTCAAACAAGACTTCTTTAATTCAACAAGGATTCCTTCATGTGCAAGACTTCTTTAAATCAACAAGGATTCCTTCATGTGCAAGACTTCAAAACCGACTGTAAATTGGAGACCAAATTTTGCAAGGATTCTGCTCTCAACTTTAATTAGAAGTCTTTCATACAATAAGTACCTTTTATTATTTGCAATAGACATCCTCCACCTTTTGACTTTTGAGTTAATTATCCACAATAATCATTGACATCTTTGTACTTCTAAATATATATTATACAAATAATGTAACTGTTTATATCTATTAAAAAAGTATTAATTGATTATAAAGTGAAAAAAATAATATTACTATGAGTAATAATATTTATAGTGAAGAGTACCGGTAGTCATCCTACGTAATATACACGTAACAGTTTGTATATATGGATGCATCAAATTAAAAAAATATCATGTGTATGACATATAAGACGACTCCGATAGTTTTCAATGTGAATAACATTCTTCTATTACTATACATGGAAAATGTTGTTAACTGAGAGTTCAGATCGATGAAAGGGAAAGCTTTGACAATTTTGCATCCTGTAGTTTCCTAGAAATATCTAGGGATGGCAATTTGAACCGTCAAAATCGAAAACCACGGTTAACCGAACCGAATGGGGCGAAAAAAATCGAACCGATGGTGCAATGGAGCGAATATGATTTTTATTTTTATGAACCGGTTTGTGGCAGTACGGGTATGGTATTTACACCGTCGAACCGAAATCGAACCAATTACTTGCA